TCTATGTCTTTTGTTTCACTCTGTTTCTCTCTCTCTCTCTGTCAGTAGTGTCTCTCTCTCTCTCTCTCTCTCTCCCTTCTTTCCTCTCTCCCTCTTGCCCCCCTTCTCGTGTGTGTGTGTGTGTGTGTGTGTGTGTGTGTGTGTGTGTGTGTGTATTTGAATCAAATACCTTTCTGGCTCTGGTGGTAGACAGAGAAATCACATGTCAACTACAGTAGAACCTACAACCTGGTCTGATAGCTGCAGTAGAACTCTAAGGTAGGACTTATCTGGCCTGCCTTGACCCAGTCATGGACTGTAGGCTTCTAAGCTGTGTAGCCTTCTGTCTCTTGGGAGTAGGTGAGTAGTTGAATTCCTAGGCAAGGAGATATGATCCTGTTTGAGTCACTTGTGCATGCCTACTCTAAAATTTTACTGAATTCTTATTTTTTTTTCATAGGTCCTTTGGAGACAGCTGTTTTCCAGACTCCAAAGTATCATGTCACACAGGTGGGAAATGAAGTGTTTTTCAAGTGTGATCAAAATCTGGGGCACGACACTATGTACTGGTACAAGCAAGACTCTAAGCGATTGCTGAAGATTATGTTTAGCTACAATAATAAACAACCCATTATAAATGAAACGGTTCCAAGTCGATTCTCACCTCAGTCTTCAGATAAAGCTCATTTGAATCTTCACATCAAGTCTGTAATGTTGGATGACTCTGCTGTGTATCTCTGTGCCAGCAGCTAAGACACAGTTGTACACAGTCACTGTTTCCCTGTGCACAAACCCAGACAGCCAGGAAGCAGTCCAAGCCAAGTGCTAACCCACACCTGAGGCTCCATGCCCCCAGTGCTTTTGAAGCATCAGTAGTATTTCAGTCTGAAGTGCAGCCTCCTATGATAATACATGAGGTGAACAAGTTCTGTGTTTTATGCACAGATGAGTCTCACAGAATTTTACAGATTAGACAGAATGGCAGTTCACATCATAGTCACCCAAAGTAGCTAAGCTTTTTCTAACAATGGAAGACCTTGGAGATTCTAACTGCTGAGAGAAGACACTGCTTGTTAGTTTAGGCTGTGTGTGTGTTGCCTATAATATAAGGATTGAAGGCAGAGGGTTTCTACAAATATCAAGGAATATTGTTTTAAAAGACAGGCAAAGTAACTGATTCTATGCCTTCACAGAAAATTTAGATTATCACTGAGTTTTGTTTTAAGAAAAGGGTATCTAGAGAAGCATGAATGTCCATGGCCAGAGGAACACTGAAAAAGAAAAGATGAAGGAGAAATCGATTGAGTCAGGCTTGTACAGTCAGGACCTATTCTCATCAAAGAATACAATTTTATCACTATTCTGTTATCTTTCAACCTTCTTCAAAAACAGACAGCAGTGAATGCTGGAGGATAGCTTGTGAGACAGAAGGACTTTAGCTATAAATGTCCATGCACATTAATTGTTAATTGTTGAGCCTACTGATGTGACATAATACTGTTGGGAGGACTTCACAAACAGTCCTTGCACCCACAGATCTCCAGATCAAACGGGAATGTTAAGCACACACAATTGTCCTCTCAAAGGAATAGACATAAAACCTGTTCTTCTATTGAGAAATCTGGTAATTGGAGGCAATTAACAGCCTGATGATCTGCATTGTCTGCTAGGCTAGGTTATATCAAACTTCTACAACTAGGACTGGAGGTAGCTACTAATCTAAATGACCTTGACGTTACCTATATGACCAAGGGGCTCCCCCAATCACTCCCAATCAGGACCAGAGAACCTAATAGTCTAAATGACCATTACATTATCTGCATAGCCAGAGGCTTCCCCATGCTTCCATAACCAGGACCAGAAGTTGACCGAGACCAAGCTTCCTTAGGCTCTTAAGCTAATACAGGTAGCCTGTCTCTAGAACCCATCTTTCTGAAAGAAATGGCATGTACCCTGAGTTGAGTTTCATTGTCATTATACTTCCTGTGCACTTTTTTCCAGATTATACTGTGTTATATTTATTAATAATAAACCAACTGGCATCAGACTTCCTGAAGTTTGATCCAGTTTGGCAAAGTGAATCTGAATCAAGTTTTTATTTTCACTTCTTTGCAGGTAGCTTTTCTGCCTGCTGCCACCACCTGCAGGGTTCCCTCAACATATGATCAAATTTGTATTTTGGTACAGTATAATAGAGGTATGGTCTAGGTGGGTAAAACTCACATAGATGTTCTGAAAGACAAGACATAAAGCAGTTAATGTGCCCCGCTGTTAGTGATGCAGTGTGGGTGCTCTGAGTTACTTACCTTCTTATAGAAGTACAGTTTTATCCTAGTGTTTGAATGCATTTTGAAGGGTCAAGTTCAGCATTGTTCTCATTATTAGGCAGCCCTAGCATGTAGTTATTACTACCAGTAAACAGACTTTCCGTAGAAATCTAAGGGTACTTATTTATCAATGTCTCTCCCATGAACTGGGGTCTGAATGCCAGAGTCTTCCATCCCTACGTGTCTGCTGAAAACTCTTCTCAGCTCTCTAGCCTTCTAGATCATTCTTCACTCTGCCTTCAGATAGCTCATCCTCTGCACACACAAATTGAATAGTGTTCTCCCACACACACACAAATTTCTTTATTCAGACTCTTGGGTCTACTTTGCATTTCTCTGTGCCTCTAGTTGTATCTGTATTGGAATTTTTTTAACTTCAAGCACAGGGCATTATGGTAATTTTTCAATATAAGTGCAACAGTAAGTGAACGCTCCAATTTATTTAGGGATCATGGATCATTTTGACGTGTTTATTTGTATCCTTACATTTCCTTGACTAAAAACAAAAACTCAACACTTTCATAAAAATAAGTTGGAATAAAGATAATATCTGATGACTAAGTGGTAAAATGCATACATGTTTTATTCAAACGAATAGAAGTGACCATGGTTGGCCTCCCCAGTTAGTCTCGACTGGAAGAGCATGGAATATCATGATGAGGCTGGTCCCATTTCTAACATTTCAAAAATGGACAGAACTGGGGATATTTCATCCCAGCTTCTCTGGTTGTATAGATGAGAAATTGTATTATACATAGGAAATGATTGAGATGCTACAATACAAATGACATCCTTAAATATATTAGAATTTTATTTTATAGTTGTTACTTATGAATATTCTTAATTGTCCTGCTAATCTGTGGGTCAACTGGAATTTTGTTCCCTGCTCTTTATCATTGGTTGCTAAAGATGGAATAGACTAATTTCATCCATAAACTCTATATGAGCTGCATAGTTAATATCCATTTTACTCTGTGCTGTGTAAGAATACTGACACTCCCAATCTCCGCATAGCAGAAATCAGTAAGACTTAAATGTGTATAAATGGGTTACTTTGGCCACAGGGTGGAGCTGTAGTCTATTGATATATCTGAAGGTGGGCATAGGGAAGGTGAGCCACTGGAGAATGGGAAAGAAAGGAATCTCAGGCATCTAAACTCCTTATCCAGGAGTTTAGATCGCAAACATTCTAAACACTTTAATTGTAAACAACATAAACATTGGAAGACTAGGTTGTAAACATCTCAGAAAAACGCTGACATCAGTTTCTAATTGATTTCTCTTGGTCTAACATCAAATGATGTTTCTTTCAGCATCTTATGTATATTGTCTTTCGTCTATTCCTAGGCAAGCAAGCTCCATTCCTTAAACAACATGCGCACAGGCTGTCTTATCCATTGTATGTTCCCTTTAGTGTACTGACCAGTGTCTGGCTGCTAAATGACACTACAGTTACATACTTCAAATGATGTTCAGGCATTCAAAATCATCTAATCATCAAGCAGTGTCCACAAAGCTGAGTCATCAATCTGGGGCATGAAGTAACACTTTGAAGGTGCTATTTCTTGAAACTGAGAAGGGGAGGAAGGAGAGCTTTCGAAAAAGAAATGGACTATGTTAGAGGAGGTGGTGGGGGAGATCTTCAAGCTGAGAGTATAGCTACAAGAATGGGAATAACTTCTAGAACTATGCAAGAAGGTTAAACATTTTGGCATTTTTTAAACACTTATTTTTATCCTTCCTAGCCTAGTGAATTCAGTTGACAGTTAAAGAAGAAAAAGAAACATCTCTTGTTACTAGAGAAGCCAAGAGAGTTAGTGACTTCACAGATGAAACCACCAATCAGGGCCATGAAGAATAGAGCTAATTCTCATCTGGGGTTTCATAGCTACCAATACCCATTTGGAGCCTGATTCACCATGAGCTGCAGGCTTCTCCTCTATGTTTCCCTATGTCTTGTGGAAATAGGTGAGTCTCAGATTCAACAAGCTCCAACTTTCTTTTTGCTGAAGCTACCACCTTTTTCCTGTTCTGTGTTTGAATTTTGTCCTTCTCTCCTTCCAGCACCCATGAACACTAAAATTACTCAGACACCAAGATATCTAGTCATGGGAAGAGCAAATAAGACTTTGGAATGTGAACAAGATCTGGGACATAATGCTATGTACTGGTACAAGCAGAGCACTAAGAAGCCCCCAGAGCTCATGTTTTCCTACAGTGTTAAACAATTGGTTCACAACGAGACCGTGCCCAGTCATTTCTTACCTGAATGCCCAGACAGCTCCAAGCTGCTACTACACGTATCTTCCCTGAAGCCAGAAGACTCAGCTGTATATTTCTGTGCCAGCAGCCAAGACACAGCCCTGCAGACCCATTGGCTCTCTGTACACAAACCTACAAGTTCAGGAAACTGTGGGGCAACTGAGGGCTACATTGAAGATTTCATGTAGAAACCAAAACAGATGTTGCAAACTATAACACTACCTTTCAACTCAAGCCATGCTGCATCTCCATATGCCATGCTCTTACTTAGAAGGAGTGTTCCCTTACTTGTACATGACTCTGCTGTCAACTGATGTAAAGATAAATACTTGTGGGTATCAGTTCTTAAATGACGTTTATAATTGTGAGAGAAAATAAACCAACTAGAAAGTGAATTATTTAAACTGATAATTTACAAAAAACCCCTGCTACAGAGTTAGATTCAGTACAGGGCTAGAAAGTGAGACATTTTGTTGAGAGAGGCATCCTATTCCACATACTTTAGGTCCTGATATCCCAAACCTCTTCTCCAGTACTGTTGCCACCAGATCATAGCAGCACTAAATCTTGAGGAGTCAAAGACTGAGCTGGGCTTGTGGTAAGTGCCAAGGCACTGCTCAGGGGTTTGGAGAACAACTTAGGGGCCTTCACACCGGTGAGAAAAGGCATATGATGAGGCTGAAGCTGGGTTTCCCTGACTCCCATGTGTCCAGTAGCTCCTGGAAACCATGACAAAGGGAGCGAGCATACTGAGGACAATGAGCCAGGGGCCATTGAGATGGGAATTCCAGCTTAGCTCAGCAATGGCTCCACGTCTGGGATTACAGAGTGTGCAGGTGGCACAGAGCTTTGTAGGCAAAGGCTTTATCTATGCTCCCCAAGGTGGTTCTTGATGAGAGAGACTGTGTTTGGTTCCAAACTGTTTATTGACTGTTCATTGTGGAAAATGAGTGTATATTACCTCCTCAGGGTGGACCTAAGATTAAATGATTTTTACAGGAAGGAATGTCCAGGAAGAGAAGCTTATTGGCTAAACCCTCAGGGCTTTTAGGTATTTCATTAGCATGAAGAACTTTGTTCTGGCCTACATGACCATTGGTCACATCTTTGTGGGGCTTTTGGTCATTTGATTCTGGGGCAGGAATCTTGGTAGGGAGCAAGGAGATGCCTATCCTCCTCAGATGGTACAGTACATGGTATAATGCACACTGAATACTTAAGGATACTCATAGGGCTACCCTGGAGCATACTGTGCTCATGATGACTCTCTGGTTCCTATTCTTATGAGATCATCATGGAATCTCCGAGTGCAGCACAGACTGTGTCATTACGGACTTCTCTTCCAATTTGTTAGAAACCAAAGCCCCAGCTTTGAGCTTTCCTCAAATACATCTCTAATAAGGACACATCTCCTAAGAGTGCCAAGCATTCAAACATATGAATCTATGGGGGCCAACCCTATTCAAACCACCACACCCAGTCTAGTCACCTGCCAGCTAATAAAAACTTTGTATTGGCTTAAGTCTGTATCTTAGCAGTCTTCTCTAATCAATGCCCCACAACAGTTCTTTCATAAACATTACCCAGATTGTGGTATGGATATAGATAATCTGCTGAACTTCATGTAAGCACATAAATTCACTGTACACACATGATCTTAAGAGGAATAGTTACTACTCGTCAGTGAAGGGGATTTAACAGGACCTTTGTCACCAGTAGTTCACTGTGGAATCATCTGTTGACTGCAGTGGTTACCGGGTTAGCTAATTGGCTTTACCTGAAGGAAAATATTCTGCTTTTATGCTTATCAAATAAAGTAGCTTTGCAACTTAAAGCAAAGCACATATTGTCCATTAAGTTAGACTCCTAAATTAGAATTTTCCAAGTGAAGGAAGTTTCCTGCTTGAGCAAGGTGGACTTCCATGTTAGGCTGTAATCCTCCCTCAGACCTTGAGATGCTCGTGTCTGTATACATTCTACAATAAGCAAGTATTAAATGTTTAACTGGCATGTCTAGCCTGGCCTTGGTTGGGATAGTGACTTGGGTCCTGCCCCTGGAACAGGGCCAGCAGGTGTGGATTTCCACAAGTGTCAATGGCTGCTGTGGGCATGAAGCTTGTTTGTATAATGTACAGATTTTCACATTCCTCTAAGGAATGTCCTCCCTGTTAATGTTAATGACTCAATAATCAGAGACAACATGAGTCCTTGAGGCAAAGGTGTGGCTAATGTCTCAGCGAAATGGTAAATGATGGGCACTTCAGATCATCCCTTAAGGCAGTAGAAAAGAACTCTAAGAACATGGGTTCAAAACTATGTTGTTTCTCAAAAATAATGCTGCATTATGAATTATGAGAGGCTTCATGAATCTAAAGAAAAAGGCAATCATGTTAATGAGCCAGCTTGTCAGAAAGATACAAAGCAGGGAGATACAAAGGCAGGCAGACTCCTGAGTTCAAGTTCAGCCTGGGACACAGCAAATCCAAGCCCAGGTGTGGTGGAAATGGTAATTTCAGGATAGAGTCCCACCCAGTTTGTTTATTATCTGTGCGTAACAGAGGCAGGCAGATTTCTGAATTCTTTTGAAATGTTAAAAGAAAATATATGCTTGCTGTCTCCTAAGAATCAAGGGGCTGCTGGGTCACAGAATGCTGATTCATAAACAAAAGGAGTAAATGACTAGATTGATATGTAAAATAAAAGACTGGGCTTCTGATCTGCAAAGAGATGAGCTACCCAGAGAATTTTGTAGAATGACAAGAGAAAACTGTTTGGAGAACAGTCTCAAGCTGAACAGAACTGTCTGGAGATCTTGAGAGAAAGCAGACCAGAGAGAAAGCAGTCTGGAAAGCTCTCTCAAGCTGAGCATAAGCCTCCAGCTTCTACCCACAATTTGACTTCGAGTTATTTCTTTTTACTGTTTCCAGGCACCCCTTCCTCCGAATCCCTCTCCAAGCTGAAGGTGGTCCTTGGCATTCACCACTCAGTGTCTCTATAAATATGTAGGGGACCTTAGTGATGAATATATTTTGGAAGTTTCTCTATGGTACACATCTGCCCAAATATATCTACACATAGAGTGGGTAGATACTGGATATATTTTACTTTTTGCCATTTCATTTAACTTGTAAGTCTTATTTTATAGCTATATTACACAAAGCTGGTTGTATCTTTTTATATTATACCTTTTTTTTATGAAGTTGACTTCTTACTTAGTGAATAGACATAGTCATTCTTCACCATGATGGCCATACTTGATTAGAGCTAAAAGCAAATGTTTGGCCTCTAGGATTATATATATTCCAAAAGGCAGTTGGAGAAAGTAATTCTTGCAGAATTTTTATTTTATGTTGTGGTATAAGAATCTTCTTTACATACAAAAATTTCTATGAAAGTATATGGAAATGTATGGAGATTAAAAAACAAAACAGACAAAAACAAATAGTGCTGCCATAAGACCTAGCCATGGCCAGTCCTAAGTATTTATTCAATGATTCTTAAGTCAACATATCACAAAGGTACTTGGGTTTCAATATTTATGGCAGCAGTGTTAACAACAGATACATTGTAGAACCAATCTAATTGTCCATCAACAGGAGAATGGATAAAGAATTTGTGATATAGAGGATAGATAGTAAGCTGTCTCATCAGGTAAAAGTGTTTGCTGATAAGCTTGAAGATAAGACTTCTTTCCCTGGGACCTCCATGATGGAAGGAAAACCTGACTCCTACAAGTCATTCTCTGATGTCCACAGGCATGAAGCAGCATGTAATGTGCCACTTCCCACAAATTAATTAAATATTTAGAAATGTGTTGTACACACAAAATGAATATATTTTTTTTAGCCACAAAGAAGAACAGAGTTGTCATTTACAAGACAATAGGTGCAACTGGAGATAATTATATCAGGTAAAAATTTGATGGATTAGAGACATTGTAGGAAGACAAGAATTGAATATTTTCTTATTTGTAGTTCTTAGATTTTATCAGTAATTATATAAAATGATGTATGTGTATATGAAGTAAAAGTAGAATTGAAGCTATCTAGGGAAACAAAAGAATAATACAAGAGGGGGGATGAGAAAGAGAGGATAAGAAAATATGAAAAGAAATATGCTCATCATACAACATATACATATCTGACAAAACTGAAAATATAAGACAAAAACAACATTTTAAAATATTGGTTCTCAAAGAACCAATTCTGGAGTACAATTTCTAGTCATATTTTTCTGTTAGATTTATTGCTATACTGTTAGAAATGTTAGAACAGAGAAACATAATATTATGAAGACATAATTTGTGTAATTATAAATAAATAAAACCAAATAAGGTGTGATTAGTGTTATTTGCATAAGATGCCTAAAGATCAAAGTGTCCCAAGTGATCCTGGGTGAGCTCTCCCCAATTGCATGACAGCGCTAGGATGTTGCAGTTAGAAATGCTCCTTACTGAGCATGAGAAACAGAAAGAACAACAATTCATTTCTGATGTATGAACCCTGTCTTCTATAAATCTCTCTTCTCTAGCTTTAGTTATTTGTAAAGGAGACTATCCATTGAGGATTCTGATTCAATTCATCTTATCATTTCATTTTTACTATTGTATTGGAATGACGTTTCACCTACTGCTACCAGCCTCAGGCTTCTGCTATCAGTTTCAGTGCTTTTCCAATTGTTTATTTCCCATTTGGATTTATCTCAACCTCTAAAACTTCTTACTGAATTTCCAGATGAATATCTTCCCCTGGGTATGCTATGGACACACAGAAACTCAAATGTGAAAAAATGAAATTAGTCCATACTACACAAGACCCACTGAAGACAACCCTTGCTTATACTATATAATTTTCCTCTTCATTTGATAAATATTTTCAATAACTGGCTGAATAACAAGCAATTAAAAAGATAGTTGGGAATCATAACTCAAGCACTCAGTGAGTCAAGTTACAGAAATCAATAACAAGTCTTCATAATTTGTGTTACAGCTTCTAATTGGTACCCTTGTTTGAAGGAAGCAAATAACCATTTACTTTTCAAGAAACTTCTACAGGTTTATAAAAATTCTCCAAGAGAATTACTCATATT